GGCTGCTAGCTGGAATGGCTTGTGGACTTTGTGGCTGTTCCAGGAAGGAAGTAAAACTGGTCACAACTGTAGGAAAGAGCTGCCCCCACAATTCATGATCATATTGATAGATAGGTAAACAGTCGGGTGATATTACCACTCATTTTAAACCTTTGTGAAATTCATAAGAAAGAGCATCCTTGCCAAACATTTTGTTGAACAAGTCATTCATGGTGAAAAAATCCAGGCCATGTCATCTTTTGACCATGACACTTCTTTTTTTCTGGACCAACCACAGTCTCTAAAATGGAATGGTTTACCTGACATACAAAAAAAAACATTGGCATTGGCAGAATAAGGGAACCAGTCACAGTTAAAACAACAATGTCAACAAAAAGGATTTTAAAAGACTGCGTTCAATAAGCTCTATAAAGCTTACTGCAAGTTTTTATGTGGTTAGTTTTCTACTGCTCAAGAGGAAGAATGACAACATATTAGTGTTAACGATAAATTCCATAGTAATGTTGTCATTGAATATAGTGTATGCTTTTTATGGGAATACAAAACTCCCAGTTTTTTAGATAACGTTGTCTCAACAAGGGAGAATACATTTGACTACACATCTAAGGGACTGACATAAAAAGAAGTTCCATTATATAATGTTTCTAGCTGGCAAACATTTTAGAAGATAATCACCATTTTCCATGCTCTCTATAGCCGTTCTGAAGCAAAGCCGCAGGAACAGCAACTTTTCAGAAAAGAAATGTTGCAAAATCTGTTGGACTTAATATAATGAAATAAAGTTGATTATTCAAAAGTGCCAACAACTTCAATACCAACAAGAACATGTGATTAAACCAGACTTTGCCTTTTTCCCCAGTGGATTCTACTTTTCACACAATAAGATACATAATATTCAAGAACATGTACAGTGTAGCTCCCCAAAACTGATATTTTACTAATATGGTATGCCTTCAATAAAGACCTTTAGCATCAGGTTTTTCATGCATGGGACACTGCAAACAGGTCTCAAATATGAGAACGTCAAGTGGTCTTCTGGTCGTGTTTGCAGTTTGCAGTTCAAGTTTGAATGGCAGGAAGGGCTTACAGCAGTAGGTGACTTACAGCAATGTTTTTGCCACTATAACAATAATATTATTGTTCAGCCTTACATTTAAAAGCACAAAGCAGCTTTCTAGACCACCCTCTGATGTGCTAGTTAGAGCTGGTGATAAACAATGAATGTCTGCCTAAAGTTTAAAATCCAGGCAAAGTGAAACTGCAAATGGGTGACTGCAGACTGCAGTTTACAGTTTGCAGTTTCCCATGAAAAACTGATGCTAAAGGTATTTTTAATACCTATGGATGTTCTCCAACAGGAAATAATTTTGCTAACAATGAAAGCTCTCAAGATTAAAGGATATTCAAAACAAGATTTAAAGTTCAAGGATTTTCCATTGACTCGACTTAACCTAACCTTTCTATAAGAAGAGTTGTTAGTTTAGTTCTAACAATATTTAAGTAGGTGACAAAATTAGTTTCAAGTACTGTAGTGTTGAGATGTATGATAATATATAAAAAAAATAAAGTACTAAAAAAGTAAAAGATAAAACTAACTTGATGTAGCATGACCATGCCTGTCATGGGAAGTAGCCATTAACTGACGCTGTAATGAGTGTGCTGCCTCAATTAAAGCCTTGATTTGAATACTCTCTCAAGCTTGAGGTGGTTTCTAAACAGCATGCTGGCATGTTCAATGGTGATGTGGCCATAATCACCAGTGCCCAGGTTGCAGCCAAACACTTCCCTTAAAAGGAATCCCCATTCTTTGCACTAAAAGAAAAAAGAGGCATATTTCCATGGGTGTTAAACAGTTGTCAAAATCAACACTGAAGACTGTGCAGTTAAACTGACAGCGGGTCTAATTAAAATACAGGTAACTTTTCCACACTGTCAGAGTACAGTTCACCATGATACAGACAAATGAATAGCATTAAAAGTGTTTGCAAGCAATCTGTGTGGTTTGGCAATTCATCTTTGGAGCAGTGACATGTACTTCTTACCTGTGGAATGTGACCTGTACTTTGTGAATATCTTAAACATTTTAGGAGAGATATAAACATTTTACTTTTAAAATAATAATGTATGTGCCTCATTCTATAGTCAAACTTTAAGTATTGTTTAAAAGACCAGCCTGAGTGTATATATTTCCACGTTCTGATTATACATGACTGCAAATTTTTTGAACGGCTTCAAAGTCTCTGATATAGATCTTGTACTAATATTTAGGTCTGTTTTTTTTTTTAATCTAAAAAATTGCATGTAAAGTTTAGCCGTACCTTTGTCAGATAGACAATCATTAAGCATATCTTTCTTTTGTTTTTTCTTCATGGATTATTAATGAGTTTTTGAATGTCAGTTAAAGTGACTGGAAACTATTTTTGAATTTCTCGTCATGCAATGGCTTTTAATTGCTGGTCTCTGGTGAAAGATTTACAAGAAACTCCACTACAGCGGTATTAACCTTCTTGTCTAAATTTATTACTGTAATAGTTTCGGACAGTATGCATATTTTCCATTAAGAGGACTTCACTTTCAAATGGTACTTTACACTCTTACTAAAAGTGAATTACCTGACACATACCTGTATGTCAACAATGTCAATTAAATCTTGCTAATCTTCCTCGAAGACAGTACTTCTAATAACTTCAGAAATGTCTTTCCAGTCAGTGTAAACCTGAAATCAAAATGAATAATTATATGAAAAGCCCAAATTACAATCTGAAATGAGGTGTTTTAAGTTAAGGGGAAACTGCATGCCTATCTCAGTTTTTTATAAGAGCATGCAGTGACCTTCCCTTGTGACCTGTGTTTTGTAACTGCCACTTGTTAAAGTTAAGAATTTTGTTCAAAAAAGCAAAATCAGCTTAACTAGTTTTAACTTAACGTGTCTGGATTTTGCCCGATATCTTATTTCTCATAAAACTGTCCAATGTGTCTTCCAATTGAGTAAAAAAAGACTTGATTATTTGATTACCTTTAAAGAAAATTGGTAGAACACTTCTGCTGCATAATCAGATAGCTGAGAAAGATCAGCATTGTCCACCTTCTGCCTTTTCTTTCTTTGTTTCCCTTTAGCAACCGACCCACCAACGCACTTCTCTGACAGCTCCACATATCTTTCCTTGATCTCACGTAGCCTGCCCTGCCAGAATTCCAGTCTTTTTTGAACTTCTTTTCCAGCTCTTTCTAAGGAAAACAGGTTAGGTAGTCACATCATGAAGTGTAAGGGGTATTCTTTTTAAGGGAGGACCATTATGCAAGAACACAAGCCACTGGGTGTGCTGTACATGCTAAGGAACATTCACTCAGTTGGGATGCAGGATGTGATGCAGTAATGATGTACCCTTGATACACAATGGTCACATCATAAGGTTGTATTAATACTAACAGTGCTAGCTAGCCTATCACAACTTCCTGTGAAGATGGATGTAAATGCAGTCATTAATTCAAACTGTCTTGTTTATCACAGTCAAAGGGAAGGAAGGATTTTAAATAATAGTGTAATGACTGTAACATGTACCTGAACCTGTGAGAGTAATAGTCTCCTGCTTTGAACCAAAGTCTCTGGTGAACGTGTCTGAAATAGCCATGTCCTGATAGTAATAAAACAAATTATTAAAAATTCATTGAATATTTTAGACAGAAACCATTTTTTTCAGTTTATGTTTCTACATACTACACAAAAAATATAATATTGTGTGTTGCACTGGTTTAAGTGAAACATTCAAATCATGTGATATCCTGAGCCATACCTTGATTCTATCATTACAAAATGTGACCTTATTCAGGAGCACCTCTTTAGCACTTTCTGGATCAGCAAAATATGACTTCAATTTGTCATGAGGCAAGGAGTTTCTAACAATCGTTTCAATGTTTGTGAGGAACTCACGTTCAGTAGAACGTTCAGGAAAAATAGTACAGAAAGAAACAAACAGGATTTAAATTCACAGCCTAATGACATCTTCACTACACACCAGTGTTACAGTTTTCATATTAAGGATCAAGGTATTATACAAATGAAACTCATGCAGCTGCTACAGCACAGACAGCACAGAAGTAAAAGGGTGAGGACAAAACGTGGACCTGAGGGGTCCATGGACCCCCACTTTGGACCGGGTCCATGGACCACTTTCATGCATGGACTGGGTCCATGGACCCCCTGTCATGGACCGGGTCCAGGGATACTTTTTTTTAAGTAATGAGAATTGAACAAAAACAGAAATAGTGCAAAAAAAAAGATTTGACAAGATGCTGTTCATTAGGTTACATACTCTGCTTACACGCTGACAGTCGCAAGACTGTTCAGCTTATGCGCTCCAGTACAAAGACTCGCATTATGAACAAGCTGAAGTTTAGAATTCATTGCTTTTAGAGTAATCATGACTGATTCACATCGCAATTCTCCATAGCTGATGTAGCTAAATTCAGTTTAAGCTACAATCCACTTCTTACGAGCTGGGCCCAGTGTGACAAAACATTGACCTTTCAGTATGAAATACAGTGAAACCTGTATTAAGTGGACACCGTATTATTAAAGCAGACACCCTCTATTAAGTGGACATTAGCCGAAGTCCCCAAATTTATTTCCCTTATTTACTTTAAATGAAACCTTTATTAAGCAGACACCTCTATTAAGCGGACGCGGACACCTAAAAAGTACCTGAAATGGTCATTTCTATTGTTGCCAACCTGTATTAAACAGACAATTATTGTAATTAAATTCCACCACCCAACATGCCAGACACCGGAAATGCAAAAGATTGCCTCGAACTGCCACCCACCAATTTTTTAATTTTTACATTAAAAAACGTGACTTGATTAGTTTCACAGTACAGTATTGTTTTCTATGTCATTTTGTTTGTATAGAGCTTGTTTGACTCATCTGATTTCTTCAAATTTGAGTTGCAATCTATGTTTATGGTACTATTATCAATTGGTCCACTTTGATAAAGAAATTAATGCAAACGTATATCATCATAGGGCGCTTTCCATTTGTCAGAACTGGCCGGTCGGATCTGTTCGTTCGTAAATGGTACGCGTCAGTTCTGAGAACTGTCAGAACTGGTTCTGGCCAAACTGGCCCTGCTCAAGGAGTAGGGCCAATCAGTTCTCACGCTCCTGCGCGGGTGCAGCGGCAAATGCGCGGGAATTTTCTTGCAGCAGGTGGAAAGCGCGGCGTTAGTTTTGGCGTTCAAAGAAAGATTCAAAGATGGCAGAATCAGACAATGACAAGTTTGGTGAGTATTTATTTGGGAATTGTTTTACCTACGTTTTTCCTGGTTAACAGCGAGCTTCCCTCAAAGATCATTGTAAAGTTTTTAAAAGGCAAGCATGTTTACAATTACAGGACTTGAAGAAGAAGAAACAAAATTGATAACTTGGTCGTCGAACAGCACGAAACTTCTTATTTCCTTGCGAAGGGAAAATGACAGCTTGTTTTCTAAAGGAAAAGTAAGAAAAAACGTTGCCTGGAAGCGAATAGCAGATCAGTTCAATTCGACTTCCTCCGTGAAAGTTACTGGCGAGCAATGTTCGAATAAGTGGAAGAAGCTAGAAGAGAAATACAAGAAAGTCTCGGAGCACAACAGTCGTACGGGAAATGATAGGAAGGAACGTGAATTTCAGGATGAAATGACAGAGTTTTTCGGATCTAACCCAAAGATTGTACCAGCAGCCACCGTTTCCACTATGGCCATGGAAACAGGGACAGCAGATCATTCCGACGATAAGGACGAGGAACTCCCTCGCAAGACGCCACCAAAAAAGAAAAAGCGAAGGTCGTCAAAATCATCCGCTTCGGAGATGATCGAGTTTCTGAAGGAATTTAAAGATGATAAACGGAAAGAGGAGCTGGAAAAAATGTCACTATCTCAAAAAATGCACGAAGAGAAAATGTCTATAATGAATCGATTCCTAGACATTTTGTCAAAAAAGGAAGGTTGAGAACTTATTCCTGTATTTACGTACACTTTCTTAAGCTTAAGTGGGGAGATTGCTTCGGCTTTGGAAAAAACAAACAACTCTGCGGTCAAGAGTGAAGTACCTTCATTTTTCAGCATTTCTGTAGAACTTTACCTGCGCAACGTGAATTATTATTGAGTACTGCAGCTAAGTATTGTGATCATAGGCTGCTCCGCTTTGTTCTAGAATTCGGAGTAAATTGATGAACCGTGCGAGTGTTGTTTTTTTGTTATAGTGTAGCAGCACTAGTATTTGCAGTATTACATAATTAATAATTATTATTCTTCTGGATGTTTTATTTTTAATCCCAACTTAAGGAAGTAAAAAAAGTGTACGATGGGACTTGGACTTTGAGGCAAGTTTAGGGCCTTATGGTGAGTACTTGTAAGCAACTGCTTGAATAAAAAACTGACACAACAATAACAGTTTTCTTTGTTTCTTACTTAGCTTGAACTTAACTTATGTTGACTGAGGTATTTAAGTGTGTTATTGGCTGTGTGATCTACTTTGAGCCTGCCACTGTCTGTTAACGATACACATTTCTTTCCCTGGCTGTGTTAAAAAAATTAATGTCTTTATCTCATTCAGTTTATTTATAAAAATAAAAAATGTTGGCAACATAATTATAGCCACTGAAAAAGATTTATCCGTCTTCTGTTTTGATGCAAGACAATCAATACATCCTTTACAATAACTGCAGACATTCTCCAATCACTGGAAAAATATATTATATTTTCTTTTGGATTGGGTGGGGGCATTGCAGAAACTATAAACCAGAAATAAATTATAATATTAATGAAATATCTAGTTATAATTAATATTGTCTTTATCATCAAAACACTATCAATATTGCCAACTGAGGAACATTTATCAATTCTTTTGTCAACTGTGCAGCAACAACACTTTTCAAGTCCTTTTTAGGCACATACTGCAGCTGATATACTCTAAATGAAGTGGATTTTTTAGCTCGATCGATCTGCTTGCCAACTTATGTCCAGAAATGCATCAAACAGCAAAAATGGCCACCATCACAAAACCCTGTTTATCTCTATCCTTACAAAACCATTACCAAATGCTCATTGTGCTTTAACAAAAATAAACTAAAATTCTGAAAGCCTGCTTCTTGGTGTTCATAATGATCAGGGGCCTGTTTCTCGAAAGTCCCAGTAACTTTTAAGGCCTGAAATCAAATATTCAAATTGAAATAAAAATAAGAGTGCGGGTCCTGGCTAGAAAACTACTCCATTTTGTTTCATTAACTGATAGTTTTATCATGTTAGATGCAAAACTATTGAAACCTCTATCTTACATGTAAACAACAACAGCTTTACGGGCCTGTTAATTATCGGGACTTTTGAGAAACGGGCCCCAGGCCCGGGTTGTTCAAGGCAGGTTAAGTTAACCCAAGGTTAGTGTGAAATTTGATTTCAGATATAAATTAAAGCTTCTAATGAGAAGCAAATTAAGTTTAATTCCTTTTGCCTACAGTTTAAAGAT